GGATGAGCCAATCAGAAGCGTTATAGAGATTTCAGGGTTACAGCGCCAACTCCAGTGCTTAATGTTAACGTACGATCGGTTCACAGGGAATTTTGTATAAAAAGTGATAACTGAGTGGCTATAACAAAAAAAAAACGGCAAAACTATAATTTGTGGACGAATCAATCAGGTATAAGATAATAGATCTCGGATTTTAATGCGAGTCATTCATCCCTTTGGCTAAATAAATTTCTGGCATTATAGCTGATGTCAGTTAGTGATGAAAACCCCATATATTATTCCTAACTAAGGTAAATTACCAAAATTATTGCGAACTGGATAATGAAAGCACCAGTAACAGCGGCTGCAGCCAAATACTACAATATATACGGATGTTTGGAGAGCGTACAGACTCCTACATAGGCTTGGTCATGTGCATCGTGTCGTTATCCAAGAGTAGCATTTTGTGCACTCAACGACCGGAGTGCACATAAACAATATTGAAGCTATGTGGTCTAGGCTTAAAGAGTTTTTAAGACTTTACCATGGCCCCAGAGGCCGACTATTCTGTAGCCGTACGGATGATTTCCTCTACTGCATGTATTACGATTTAAGAACCTCTTTCTAACCTTAACAAGTTTTTGAACCACGTATAAGAAGTGTAGCCACTTTATTTCTTTGGTTTTGTATAACATATTTTTACTCTATACTGACTGTTTGCTGATTGAATAATATTTCTCAAGGTCACTTCAGATTCCTTCAAAGGTCGTCCATAAATTAGAGTCTCGCCGGAAAATTTCTTAATTTCAGTTGGTTCTGTTGAATTAGTTTTTCAACCACGGAAAGTGTGAACAATAGAAATAACATTTTCAAGTAAGTTCCAGACTCAAAATACATTATATTTTAGAAATTGTGAATTCTAGTTAGTTTGAACTCTCATATAACTCAATTTAAAAGTGATTGATGAGAAAACAAATTCGAAATGGTTTTAACGGTCTAATGATCCACTTATTCCTTTAGTTCTCGTTAAAATCTTCTGTTCTACAGATGTCGTTCATTTTAACGGTGAACAAACACAAATTTTGAAATCTTTTTAATTAAGTTAATTTCTCCTTTATTATCTAGGATATTGGAAATATAAGTGATAGTGTAGTGTAATAATGATTGTCACCCCAAGTAATTTATTCTGTAGTCAGAAATATTCATTGTTTACTAGCTAGATCACAGTAGAAATCTTCAAATATTCCTTGTTTATGGAAGTGAAAGCTACGGAAATGAAAACAAAGTGAAATGGTGGGGAAGATCTATAGCTCAGGTAAAGTTGCGATCCCTCAGCTGGATGATTTAATTGTTTTTCCATATGTTATTAGCATAAACTTCACATATAAGTGAGCTCTATGTATTTCTTCACTTGACTAGCAGCTTGTTCTGGAAACTTTGAATTTGATTAGATGTTGCCTGCAGTGTTACTTTTATCCTAAGTTTGTGCTCATGATGTTGTTCAGAAAGACAATGAGAGCTGCATGACTGAACCATCTAGCTAAGAGGACACGACTTCACGAAAATGTTTGCATATTTGGAATTTTTATCCAAATATTTCTTAAAATTATCCTGTTTTACCTTTCTTGCTGCTTCAAATTTCTGTTCCAAATACCACGGTTGGTGTAGAAAAAGATTCCAATTAATCCCTTAGTATTATTTATCTTTAATTATAATAATAAACCCTTAGTTGAAATATTAAACTATATTTCATTGAGGAAATAAACAAAATTAGAATGTCCGAAATATACGGGGTCAGAATATCACATTCCCAGAAAAACTGATCTTTACCTGTTATACCTAAGTTTATGAAATTAAAAAAATCCAATTTTTTAATGAAATAATTTATTACTTTCACATAACACTATCCAGAACTAATGCTTCAACCTTTCCCAATCTCAGTGACAATTAAATTTGTAGGTGTTTTTCTACCAAGCACTGTACATTAGCTAACGAATCCAGTTGGCAACTAGTGTTACATCTTGCGGTAGTTTGATCAGAAAAAGTTTCCCCAACCTGTTATGCAAGTGAGAAGACGAAGGATGAATAAAAAGTTATTAGCCATTGACATAAATTTTCCTTCGATATATAAGCCAAGACCTTGACAATAGCATGTTTTGTTCATCGTCTCTCAGTTGCTGTATGGCATTAGGAAAAAACGTAGACACAGGCCCTTGTGTACAATTCTACTCAGCATATCATTTGTCTTTGCTGAAAAATAAGGCTATCTTCTTGGACTTAGCCACCTGAGTTAAGATGGATGTACATCAATCTCAGAAATGTACACCCAATATCTTACATGTGATCGGATCCACGACTTTCAGATGTCATGCACAGGACACTGTTGGAATGCATCGATACACCAATCTGATATATATAAAGTCCAATGTGTGAGATCATATAATGGGTTTCACAATTGATTGATCACTGGGTGGTGATCAATCTCATGCTTGTCTAGTCCTTATTAGTGCAGATAGAATGCTATCGATCATGTTGCAATGTGGCCACCAGTCTAGGTGACTCGACACTGCGGGCACTATGTATTGAGATTAGATGGTGGTTGGAGGGTTTCCTGTTGACTACCTCCAACCACCATCTAATATAATAGGTTTGTTGTGAGACCACAAAGTACGTAATCTGGTCAATGGAGAGTTGAGTCCACTCATCTGATAAATCTCAAGCTATGACAAAACCGATGTCTAGAGCATCTTGGTCCCCATCGGTTCCCTAATGCTGACCTCAATCAATGACAAAAGTCACCTTCACATTTAAAATAATCTCCACAATCTTTCAGTTAAATAATTTATATACATGTACGAACTAAAGTTCCCATCTAATGAATTTATCTTTAACTGTATCCGTTTAAATTTTTATTAAATGCCAACTTCCGCTATCTAAATTAATAAGTGTTGTGGATGCAGAGGAATAGACCAATCATTATCATGCTAAGTCCAATGGTGTCCTTGGACTTTAAATGGACATTTTCTATTGGTCGATATCTGTTCACTTGTGAATATTGTACAAAATGTTGTTTCTTATTTTTATGGTACGATGTGGTATGCTTGGTTAGCATATAAATAGAGTATGTTTGAAATATAATGATTCATATCTCCAAGGCTGTGACTTGTGTTCTGGACTTAACTGGCTGGGTTATCCAGGGGAGTAGGACCAATCAGAACCCTAGGTCGTTCTACGTGTTTGTGCGTCTTTGGTCCGATCAATAATTCGCTACCTCTTAATCTGCAGCATTATTTTCCACAGTCATAACAATAAGTATTGGAAGTAATCCTAACGATTATATATATATATACCCCACTAGCATATGAAGAAACTGTTGGGCCAAATCCCAGAAAAGTAGAGGTAGTTACAGTATGATTGAAAAGATTAATCATCGAGGGTGCGATTCAAGTTACGCCGAATTTGAAAGAAGTTTAAGAATGGAGGCACCTGCACAAGTGCCATCCAAAGTCTCTAATCATTGGTTCCGATAATCACGCAGACCCCAATCAGTTGTCTACACCTATTAACATGGCTCACTCCAGTTAATGACTTCATGGACTGATGCAATCTCATTTTATATATTACTACCATTTAATTAACTGCTTCTATGAATTTGTTCATCATGTTGTTGCTAATGAGGTATGGTAACTTGGATCAATGCATATATGTGCCTGGTTCTACGTTGTAGATGACTGACTGACTTGGTTTGACCCTCCCATCAATATCAGATTAATACATTTTCAATAACATACATTGGATAAAATCATCAAAATGTAAGTTCCATCCAGTACATAAAATATGGACAAGTTTTTTAAGTCATTGTAACAATATAACTACATTGATTTCGAGAGATTATTTTGAAATGACTAGTTCATCATGAGATTATGATATATGTATTGTCTGTTGCGAATAGTAAACTGATGTCATTGTAGTCGCGAACCAACTCATTAAATTTTAGTTAAATATAAACATATATGTCAGTTAAGACACTTTTTTCAATTAAGAATATATTTCAGACTTGATACCGTGATTAGAATGATTTTGTTATATCCGGCGAGAATTATGAATGGTAACTCCTGAGAACTATTTATAGACAAATATTATAGGTATTCTTAATGTATAACTATTCAGTAGCCAGATTGTGTATATTTATACTCCTCTTATTATAAGCTTTATTTTGACCCACAGACTATTATTATACGATTTACCGTTCATGAGTTCTTCCCAGTCTATTAATTACAATCTACAACGTTCACAGTCACTTTTGGCTAGATTTTGTACAAATGTTGTTTTCTATTTTACAGTGTGATGTGATTTGCTTGGCTTTTATATAAACCCAATATATATGAAATACATGATTCATATCGTAGAGGCTGAGATTGGTGTTCTGAACTTAACAGGCAAGAAGTAGGACCGATAAAGACTTCAGACTGCTCGTACGAGTTTTATGCGTCATTGGTTCGGTCGATACTTCACTGTTTTCTACTTGGCCGTATCACTAATGTTATATACTAATACGGCACAAGACCACAAGTTATAACAGGTTTTCCACTGGATAGTAGTATCAAAACTCATATTTGGTGCTGGGTTCGATTCCCGAACACAGGGTCATGGGTGTACACTTCTGAGAAGTTCCACACTAGGATGAAACGGCCACTTACTGTTTCCAGGTTTTTTAGTTATGGTTTAGCTAAGATTTAAATTATAAAAGCATATTTGTTCAGCTTATTGTACCAATACAATCCTAAATGACCGAATTGTTTCCACCTTAAAAAAAAAAGATAATTTATATCTATCAGAATTTTATTTAAAAAAAACTCAAAATTTTGAAAAAATTTATTAACAAAGAAAGAAAGAAACATTAAGATAAATTATCTTCCGATGGTAAAGAATAAAACCTGTCTTGACGATTTCAACAACCGATGAATGAATAGTACATGTTTCGTAAAAAAGACAATTAAAATTTACATGATGAATTATCATTATTTACAGTATCGATCTGATTTCATTTTTTCACGTCTACAAAGATAAAAGAAAAATACAAATATTGATTTTTAAGTTATATTTAGATGCATATTAAAGTAAACTATGAACTTTGTTTATTGATAATATATGTGCTTCAAACAAGTGGTAAAACCGAGAGTAGGGAGAGTTACCTCTCCTTCTCTATATGTTGCCACATGGCCACGTGCATACAACCAATACCAGGGAAATCCGACTAACTGCCTTCTCGCAGCAGTGGTGTTGTTTACGAGATTGAGAGGACGAAAAGCGAATGTACGATGTTTCAACCGGGTCGGTGGAACTCGAAGAGTCTACCTAGAGGAGTTGAAAAACCCTAATTCCAAATCAACTGTGCACATAGACTCCAGTATCCTGAAGGAACAAATGACGTATGAACCTATTGTTGGTCACCGCTACCATGGGACCACATCCCCTGTCGTTGCTCCACTGCTTTGTGGGTCAGACCTTTAGGTTAAAGGTTCCGGGTGTGACCTTCTAAGAAAATCACCTGCTTCGGTTTGGGCACCCGAGAAGTATCATAGTCCACACTGGTGCCTCTTTGTACCAATGTTTATGTGTTTAGATAAAAAACACTATTATAGCTATATTGAAAACAATATTTTGGTGATATAAATGTGATATATATTTTCTTCTAGTAAAGAGGATACCAAGTGAGAAATTTAATAGCGTTAGGAGAGCAGGTCTTGTGTGAACTGAAAATGAATGATGACATTTAAAAACCATTAATTTGCGAAAACCTCATTTTCCGGTGTACTTGAGTCATTGGAATTTAGAATAAACCTTGTAATTCTAACCTGTTATTATCTGACAATAGTTGTGCGTATATTGTGTTATAAATACTGAAGAGCTTACAACAAACAATTAGGGAGCATATTACACTTTTCCGAGGTTGATAAAAAAGACTATTAACATATCAGTGAAATATCTATCACTCAGAATACCACAATTAAGAGTACATTACTGTTCAAACGTAGATATCAATCTGTGACTATTGGAGCGCTATATTTTAAATATCAAAATAGATTCGCTATGTAAGAATTTGCAGTTGATAGCATTCAGTAAACATTTTTTAAGGATCAGACTATTATCATGTGATTATAATTTACGCTGAAATGACCGGATAATGAAAAACGCATTGTTTGTACGACCCAGCTTTACTTTGACTCAATTACACAATAACTATAAAGATAAACACTGAGCACAGAATACATTAGGATAACCGGTTTATAAAATTAATTCCCTTACACATTTGTTCGTTAATCTAACAATTTCTTAAAATTACAATCAGTTGACTACAATACTAAATGAGAATCAACTTAGTCTATAAAACAGCAATATACTGACTGGTCTTCGTATATCTTTTACAAGTAAATAGCGATATAACAGAATGAAGAAATAATAACCCTTGAGACTTTATGGACTATTATTAAATGGAATCATATTGTATAATTAATAAACAACTGGACTATTATATTCCTATGTTCCATTTATTGTAAGCTTTCGTTTGACCCATTATTAGTACACGTTATAAGCAAAGATGCATGGTGGCTAGAAGTGGGATCCAGGACGCACGTTTTATCCTACTCAGGACTCATCAACTGGATGTACCTGCATCCCACAGTTGTTGTCTGTTGTGTCTTGTGGACAGAAGACGCGTAAAACAAGCAAGAACAGCCTAGAGTCCTGATTGGTCCCGCTTCCCTGTCTAGCCCAGCCAGTTGAGTCCAGAATGCAAGTCTTAGCCTCTCAGATATGAATCATTATATTTCAAGCATACTCTTATTTATTTATTTTAACACATAGATATTGGTACAAGGAGGCACCAAATGCATGTGCGCCACACGACTCTCATTCGATAGGTGTGAGGGCTGTGATGCTGCCCGGGTTCCCAAACCGAAGCAGGCAAGCATACTCGGTTTATATACCAATCAACCCGACCACAACGTACCAATAAAATAGAAAATAACGTCTGTACAATAATTAGCCAGAAGTGGCTGTGAATGAGGGAGGTAGCGATTAACAGATAGGGAATAATTCATGAATGGTAAATCGTACAATAATAGTTCATAGGTCAACATAAAGCTCATAATAAGAGGGGCATGAATATGAACAGTTTAGTTACATAACAATTATATGACAAAAATATACTCATAATATTGGTCCATAAATGGATCCCAAAAATTACCATTCATTATTCTCATCGAGACACCACACCTCCCCTTTTTGAAGATCAGGATTTTAAATTTTCTGGGTTCATCCTCCCCCACGAAACAGTGTTAGATCCTCATATGCCCAACTTACAATTAATTTGAATTTATTTAAGACATATTTGTCGTACTGAACAGAGGATCGATTGAAAGTGATTGAGTGGTGAGGCTGAACGACAATTGATATAAGGTGATCGAAGTTATCCACTTAGTTACTGAGTCTTGATAGTCACTAGCTTGTGCAGTGGGGTGAGGTTTAATTTATTTTTGTATATTAGTACACGTCATTATTTCAAAATTATTACTAATTGGGTATTTGCAGCTTGTCTGACTCATTTCCACTCTATATATGAGTACCGTTTTTCATTTTATGATCTGATATAGTCCTGTATGGAAACCTGTGACTCCTTGGAATAATAATAATAACAGAACCTTTGGCTGCTATCTTCTTATATAGGAATTGACAGACCAATAGGCGCGAAGCATATGTTAGCATCAACTCGACGTTAATCGTATTGGTCGGGCTATACCATCGGTTAAGGCCTATGATACTAGACTATAAGGGGAATAACATAGACGAGTAGAAAATTGTAGATGGAAGTTTGACTGGCAAGCCTATCTAGTGGTATTGATTAGCGTCTCAGACATAACAGATACATACATATACATACTACAGGAAGTAGAGTAAGGCTCATATCTAGTGAATGAGTTTAAAATCTTCTAAATGGTAGGTGACATAGACCGATACTATTTATAGTGCTGATGTATTTTTCATGTTCTATCTTTTTCAAAGATCTTTGTTTTATATCAATTACCCCCATCCTTAGCATTTATTGATTCTATTTATTTATTAAATATGTCCTATGCGCTCCATGTTCATTATCAGCGATACAGTTATTTCAATGATTTTTCGTTCCGTTAACCTATTTTTACTACGCTAATATAAAGCGCGACAACTTCAATTGATGTATATTTGCACTGCATTGTACCATGTTGTTTCTGATTAACTGACCAACTGAAAACTACAGAATATAGTTTAGTTTGAACAACTGAGATTCAATAGGTCTAACCAGTAAGCGTTACGAAGAAACAATCTTTATAATTTGTTTTCAAGAACAAATTAACACATACCGATCTAGTAGACATTCATACAGATTGCCAGAATGACGAGCGCGCTTTACATTACTGAAATCTTCTTTGCTTAAACGAAGCTTTTGATCTTGCCAACTTTGGAATTTACGTCTAGAAATAAAGTGAATTAAAACAGTTGTTTTATTTAATAAGAAACTACCCAGATCATTTTACTTTAAAATTGCGACAACCTTAGGAAAGTAGAACAAACACACAAAAATTTCGATTACGATACTTCTCATCACACTCTAATGAAAATTGACAAAAAGAATACTGACAACGAGTGTCGCTTATAAATAAACCATGTAGAATGAGGCATAAAATGAACATTTATTATGGCTACCATGAGATGATGCAACACAGTGGCTAGAGACGTTATCAGATATGGCTCAGAATAGAAGCCGCTGGCGATCCTGCTGTAACCTTCTTTTACTTTCTTCATAAAAAGTGGTTGTATCTTCCTTAACTGAAAGATTTCTTCTGGTTGTACCTTTCCGTTACCCCCATTATTATTATTGCACTACCTTACACTAATCTGTGGTCGTTACTGTTCTTCTTTCCTTGTACTCCCCTTACCTTCTTTTTTCTCTTCCCATTCTCATTGTTTTGTGTGGCGCATATATATTTGGTGCCCTCTTGCACCAATATTTATGTGTTCAAATAAATAAATAAATAATGGCTACCATACTTCACATTGTTATAAATTAGAACTCACGATGAATGGTGAAAGAGTTTTGGATTATTAAAATGAATGCAATTTAGTACTAATAGATGAAGTGATACAATGTGGTCGAGTAATAACTGCTAAGAAAACAGAACTATTGATGCAAACCCCTGCATAGACTGAGACTAAAGACAATACCATTAACCAGAAAGATAATATGCTTAGGTCCAAAATATTAAACACAAAAATAAGCATGATTAAATTTCACAAAGAATCGAACAGTGCTGATTTTACAAGTCACTCACCCTCCAATGAATTAAAAACTGACTCTGTTAGACTTAGTTCTTGTTCAAATCACAATAGCACAACCAGATGGAATATCAAAATGATGAAAATTAAAATAACTGAAATAATAATAGTATCAATGAGAGAAACGAAACCTGGAAAATTTAGTTGAAAGACAATAAATAAAGGAATGAAGAGTATAGGGTGATAATGGAAATCAAGATTTAAGGGAGGTCAAATGTTGAATACATTCGACCGATGGTAAATAACATCATATTTGATCTCCAATCAATAAAGATATATTAAATTGTTGATAGCCTTGATTTATAAATTTCTATATGAATAAAGTTGGAAATGTACAGTATACTGTGGATCACATAAGCATACATTTGTGGTTCAATGTACGGTAGATATCGTTAATTTGTAACTCACAAAGTACAGGTTTATGTAATTGGCTTTCAGTCAGTTTGTGTGACGGCCAACAATACTACCCATACTTTCCAAAATGAACTAGCGGCAGAGTAGTTCGACCCTGCAACCCACCAGTCGGAATCCAAGTATTTTAAACACTGAGTCATCCAATGAAATACAAATAGGAGCCGTACAGAATATAGAAAAAATTAATTAATTAACAACTTACACATAATTAACTTCAGCTTTTTTCAAGCCTTCACGTTCTTCTTCTGGTATATCCAATAAAGGATCATGGATAAGAGGTTTATTAGAACGAAACTATGAGAAAAAAGTGATAAACAGAGATAAGCCGTTTGAATAAAGTATAGAAAACATCAATCACACACAAAATCATCACCAATTAAGTAACAACTCAAAATATTTGCATAACATCAGTTTCTATGAGTTGAAGATTGCTTACAGTTGAAATGAACTATAACTACATATTAGAGGAAATATTGTACACCGCTATTAAGACAAGAAAAAGATGTATGCACTTTCGAAAGACCCCTTGGATAACGTACTACCATTGGATAAATGATATTTTGGGTTTCAATAGCAGCCACCATCTAGACGAAGTACAACAAAATAATGCTTACAACAGTCAAGCTAAAACAAACTAGAAATCCATGAAAGTTCTTACTATTGGTATTGGCTGTGTAGGAAAGTGAAAACTTTTTGGATGATGTTTGTATTTTAGTATGTTGAGAGGAATTGTGCAGCATTAATTTAGAGGCCAACTTTATACCAAAATATTTACAAAATTCATCACTAAAAATGTATATATCCTTATGTTATATGATAACAATTATTGGAAATACCACTTCTCCTTTACAATTTGTTCTATCTAGCAAATTTTAGTCTTATGTAACTCAACACAAATAATTGAAAACTATACATTAATCTTGAACACTGAACAGATATTTTGCAATCGAATTAAACTGAAAAAACTGACAACAATTACATACAATAACCATTTCATTGGTTTTGGCTTGTTGACTTTTGAATATAATATCATCCGTAATCGGATCAGCTGAAAGGAAACAATTGTTGGCTCCTAACATAGCACTACGACCATCTTGAAAAATTGGTTCGAATTGTTCAAAAACTCCAACAGCATCTGCTGTGGCTGCCAAAATAGCATCGGATTTGGTAGAAACACCAAGATATCTACCGTACCTGTATTTCAAACAGAAAACAAAACCGAGATTATTGTGCTTATAGGAAAAAGATAGCAGTTTAAAAAAACGAACAATGATTGTAGATATTGTTTGACAATGGTTCCACATTATTTTACGGGACGATTGACATGATACGGTAAGAATCAAGCCTGATAGTAGTTAATCACTAATCCTATTGGAAAGTAAACGACCTATGGTTCTTTAAATTATTTGTTAATTCACATTTATACATGTTCACTTTTCTGTTCAGTATTTTATAAGGATTTTATTTCGTTATAAGAATATATTCCAATGAGCAGCTGTCTTGTCTTATGATATTAGTTAACTGTGAAGAAGAGGCGGTTATTATCTGCCCACATTGTATCATTCCACAGCATCTATCGATCAGTGCCCTTTTCTTTCATCTTAACAGCTGGAAATTCATTCATAAAATCCCATTTCATTATACTGCTATTATAAAAACTCCATATTAACACACTTGTATTTATTTATACAATTTGTATTACACAAATCTCTTTAAAATCAATGATAAATTCGTATTCGAACGACCATCAGGTTAAATGTCACTCCAGTGCAAACTGTGATGGAAAGAGTATATGAGCAAAATTTTCTCTCCTTGGAACAGACGTTGAAACTATCGACTTTCATTTAAAATTAAAAATGAAACATCAATCATGAAGTACGCTCAAAATAAAACTTAATGACGATAACACCCTAACTGTTTGGGCTTTGACCAGACTCCTTTAAATTATCTAGCATCAATACAAGTCAGTCAATCAGTCATCTACAACGTACGACCAGGCACATATATGAATCGGTCCAACTTTCCATACCTCATTAGCACAAAAAGATGAACATCAAATTCACAGAAGCAGTTACTTCAACGTTAGTTATACATAAAGATTGCATATAAAGATATGATACAGGGATAAAGAATTAGTTCATAGGAAGAAAGGTATAAAGTAATTTTAATCTAATAGTTTAAGGGAAAACAAAGTGTACATATTTACGCCATTTTGATCAATTGTGAGTAATGGTCACTCAGTCTTCAACCATTGGTTACGATTGTCGCACGGACTCCAACCAAGTGGTCTGCATCTACCAACATGGCTCAGACTAGAAGTTAGTGACTTTGTGGACAGTTACCACATTTATAGTTTGGCTGCCCCTAACTTTCTTCCATCCGTCTACAATACTAATTAGCACTGCGTGCCGTCGTAATCGGTAGTGGGTAATACGAACTAATACGGCGCGTATTTCTAAATTGAAAACAAAAAGATATTCCAGCAGAATAAACTTTATTATCCAAACATTCACAATAAGAGCTAATTCCTTTGAGGGGAGTTGGTCAGAGACTCTACAACCACAAATTAAGGTAAATTACATTGTAAAACTTATTTTATTTGAATTATAGAACAGAAAACTACTACTCACACTAACTAACCCAGATTTAAATGCAACTTTAGTATCCGAAACTTGCATAGCGGTGAAAATCTCTTCTGGAGCTGGTGGTTCTCCGTACTTCCTTGGTGGTCCGATAACAACCAAACCTTCGTCGGTAGCTGATAAGTAACAAGCACCTGTAAACTCCTTGTTATTAGCATCCTGTCCAGAGTGTGTAGCTGCTTCAAATCCATCAGCCGTCAACGGTTTATCAGTTGCAACATAAACTTGTATTGCTATTGAATCCTTCACTTCATCGAATTCTTTCACAGACCACCAGCCACCATGAGCATCTGCTTCCAAAATACGTTCTGTTTTCTCAACCTTTGGTTTCGATTCGTAATGTCTTTTGTGGTGCTTTTTCTTCTTCTCACCTTTTAATTTTAATTTTCCAGGTCGGACAAATGAGTAACTGTCCATCGTCTAAAAGTCGATGTAAATTTTCAAATACATATTACACCATACATTGCATAAATCTTACGTCCATGCTAAACATTCTAGATAAGATAATTCCCCTACTCAGTAATCTTATGTAAAAGGATAGTGGTAATTTACAAGACGTTAAACCTTAAAAGTTGAAGACTAGTTTGTCTTAGATATAATAATTGCAAAAAGTAAAAGCAATTGATCTGTGTTTACAAAATAAAACTATAACACCAGATAATTTCAGTTAGTCATCATCAACGTAGAGCCTGACATAAATGTACATCGAACCAATTAATCATACTAAATCCACATAACGAGATGAAATTAAAAGAAATAATAAAGGAGTCGGAGTTGTATTACTGATGATATTAAAAAAGACTAAACATGGACAAAGTATGTATGAAAGAATATTGTAATTCAAGATGGGACGGAAGATACAGAGTAAATGCATCTGCACCACTATCAACGGTTTCAAGACATCACTATAGTCTCCAGTTACTGATTGCCGCTATAGCGCGGACTTTAACCATCTAGTGTGCATCTACCATCATGGTTCAGACCAATGTTAATGACTTCTTGAACTGATGCTACGTCTTGGTCTGGCTGTCTCCTAGCTTTATTCCAACTTACTCCCATTTCACCAAACATAGCTTGTCCAGGTAAGCTGTGATTAGGCATAAACGAACACGTCCTTAACACTTTAATCAGTAAGGATTCATCGCCTCTTCAACCGACACCCCGCTTTTGATCACTAAATTAAGCTCGACTTCAACATTGTGTACAAGACTGCCTTGTACACAACCACGCCAGCCGTAGCTGATCACGATGTGATCAATCTGAGTACAGGCTTGAGATGCAGAGGGAGGACGCCAGGTGGCACATCGGCGATGACTGTGTCGGAAGTTAGTGCTAGCCAGAAACAGGTTGTGGTCTGTGCACAGTTGCAGTAGACGATCCATGTTATCTGTCCTGTGACCAACAAGGCCCTCAAATGCCCTGGTATGGCCGAGAGCGGGGTGGGTTCGCCCTCCCTCTCGAAATACTCTCACACGACCACGCGTATACAGCCTCTGTTAGGGAAATACTACTCACTGCCTTCTCGTGGCGGGTGTTGTTTACGAAAATGAGAGGAAGAAAAGCGAATGTCCGGCGCTTTAACCGGATTCCAAACCAAATCAATGGTGCACATGGGCTCCAATATCCTGCGGGAACAAATGGCGTATGAACCAATTTTCGGTCACCGGCTACCATGGGACTGCATCTCCTTACGATGCTCCACTGTCTTGTGGGTTAGACCTTTAGGTCAAAGGCTCGGGGTATGGCCCCCTAAGATAACCACCTGCTTTGGTCTGGGCACCCGGGCAGTATCGCAGCCCACACGCAATTAATGAACTGAAATTGTGTGGCGCATATATATTTGGCGCACTCCTGTACCAATATATATGTGTTCAAATAATAATAATAAACATCGGCCACCTAAACGACTCTCTTCTGTGCCTAGACGCCCGACCTGAGCATTCAAGTCTCCGGCTAGTCCTACAGTATCCGTCGAACTCACTTTCTGGAGAAGAACAGTTAACTGGTGGTAGAATTCATCCTTGATTGCATCTGGGCTGCAATCTGTCGTTGCATACGGGCTGCAATCTGTCGTTGGATACTCGGAGATGACGAAAAGACATCGTTTCTCAAGCCGATTTCTTCTCACTTTGATGGACCTCTCTAATCTAACAGCACATAACCGACTGTTAATGGGGATCCAGTCGATTAGTGCTGCCTCAGCTCTAGTGCTAAGTGCGACACCAACGCCAGCAAGACCAGACGAAGATGCCACAGGGTCCCCGGATAAACGCACGTAAAACAATCCTTTTGAAGCGACAGATGGAGAGCGAATTTGTAGTACTTCACCAGAGTTTTGAATACGGGTCTCGGATAGACAGCAAACATCGATATTAAGACTTTCTAAAGACATAGCCAGCCCTATCTGTTGTCTAACCTGCATAAGTGTGCCAACGTTGAGGACAGCCAGTTTGAATGGTGCACGTGGTTTCAGAAGCACTGCCTCAGTACTCATATTCGGTGGTAATATACAATTTTCAACCGGGCAGTGACTCGAGAACGTTTAGATAGAGTCGAATTTCCACCATAGACGAGCTGCTGTATAAGTCGAAAAAATAAGTATAGACAGAGTGGGGATAAAAGGGGGTGAATAATGACGTGATAAATAATAATAATAATAATAATAATAATAATAATAATAATAATAATAATAATAATAATAATAATAATTTGAATCATTTGATTGTTAGTCGAAGCAAGAAAAGTAGTTTCCATAAATTTAGACAGTTCATCATTTGTGTGTGGGCTGTGATACTGCCCGGGTGCCCAGACCGAAGCAGGTGGTTGTCTTAGGGGGCCATACCCCGAGCCTTTGACCTAAAGGTCTAACCCACAAGGCAGTGGAGCATCGTAAGGAGATGCAGTCCCATGGTAGCCGGTGACCGAAAATTGGTTCATACGCCATTTGTTCCCGCAGGATATTGGAGCCCATGTGCACCATTGATTTGGTTTGGAATCCGGTTAAAGCGCCGGACATTCGCTTTTCTTCCTCTCATTTTCGTAAACAACACCCGCCACGAGAAGGCAGTGAGTAGTACTTCCCTAACAGAGGCTGTATACGCGTGGTCGTGTGAGAGTATTTCGAAAGAGAGGGCGAACTCAACCCGCTCCCGGTCATACCAGGACATCAGTATACAAACCGTATATCGAATTGGAGTCATTAGCTAAGACACTAAAATTCCATGGCTTTGATGTGTAGTATGTCTCCGAAACATGTATACAGGATAATAGCGTTATCACTGACTCATAGAACCTATATGGAGAGCCAACAATATATACCCTGCAGGTATCCTAAGACGAAACGAAGAGTTCTCATAGTTTTGTTGATGCATGTGTAGTACTAAATCTGAAGGTTGAACACAGACTTTCTGATTGGATTCCTGTCGACAGTTACCCATATGCTGTCCATCCCAATGGAATCACAAGAACTTGGGGAGATACAGACACACCCCATCGCCCCTCCACCGTTTCTGCCTATGTCCCCATTGACTGCATCTTGGAGTGAGTAAAAGACTAGTTATATAACGTACTTTCAAAACCCATCTGCTTAGACGTAGTAGTTGTAACGGGCGATCATCGTACTCAAGTTGGTAGACTAAGCTAAATTGAAACGTACTTGTATGGGGCATGTGGTGTTTCAACAAAAGGAGCGGATAACGGAGGTTATCTAGTGCAATTATGCTCAGATAACTGGCCATCCTGGGAAGTGTGAACTTTAGACAAAATGAAAAACACTGTCTGACCTGTTGACGCAAATCAACACTGATGGTTACAAATAGATCATATCACCATCACGCATCGTTGAGGAGGCTCGACCGCAGACTGCCGCTCCTTCTAAAGTACATGCTTGGAGTTTGGTCATACCCTGCTTAGTGTATGCATTATTAAGCGTTTTACTGGCAAGAAAACCTTCAGATACCAATTCGATTGAAAGGCTAGGCATCGACTAAGGGAAGAATCAGCTAAGTACCTAGTCGGTCGTGAAGAAACGGTTTGTCCTGAAATAGCTTAGGATGATGTTTAAAAAGCTGTAAATATAATAACGGCGTCCACTAACGACTTATATCGAGTCTATGGAACGCTGATGGATTCAGGTGGCATCTACAAATTGACGTGCGCCCCGAACATCATCTCGAGAGGCCTGGAGAACGATGGAACGCGGTGAAAAAAGCGATGAAAAGCGCAGCGTATCTAGATGTGATCTGATGTAAGGTGTTTAGATCGATCTACAAGGCTTTCGGAGACTATGCTGATACAATCGCTCTAATGAGAAAGATCAACCTTTGATATTTTAGAAAACTCCATAACAGTATTAACCTTCAGGGGATCTGGGAGAAATTGGCTTTTCTAAAAGTAAGTCGAAAATAAGGTGCCACTGTCACAATAAAATTCAGTCTTAATCCCAAAAATCAGACGAAAAATCCCCTTGCTTCTTGTTCTCAGTAGCTCTTTTAGTGGAAAATTATTAAGATTTTTTTCGAATCCACAGCTTGGTTCTATCGCACACAATCTTTCTGTTTTGGAGAAAATTTTGTCGCTTTTAAGTAAATTTTGAGGTAGCCGCAATAAAGTACTTTAGGGAAATGGCACAGAACCCCCAAGACATTCTAGGGTCTGGAGAAAATCCCCAAAGTTTTGAGGAAACCCTCAAAATGTTCGGGAGAATTATGAGTTTCTCCCGCATCTCTGTGCTAATGTGGTATGGTAATTCGAACTGATGTATGTACGTACGAATTTCTACGTTGTTACTGACTGACTGATGCGTTTTTCCGAAGATTTTCTCAGAATCTTATAACACTTAAGTTTTTTCCCGGACATTTCCCCAAACTTTGAGAAAACTACCAAACTTTTTACAACTTTGGGTAAAACCCTAAAATTTACAAAAAAATTCCCCCAGATAGGGAGATTTGGCCATGAAGCTCATGAGCTTGGCTAACTACAAACTGGAAGACACAAAACCGAGGACAAAACGATATTATAATGAGTAACACGCTTTATAACGCTGATAACGAGCCGTAAAAAGACAAAAATCCAAATGTTTCAGTCAATATTTCAAAAAGGGCAGTGATTTTTGTACTTGTTGTGATTATACTTGCTTTCGGTACTTAATGCACTAAAAAGCATTCTTGGTCTACTTTAACTAAGAGTTCTTTGGTTAAAGTTTGAAATTTTTTGCTATATTTTGTCCTGGGTACCTGTTTTTAGTCCTTGACTAACACTTGTGTTCACATTATTATCATTTTTTGTTTTTAGACCATTTAAATCGAATTACAATGGTTGGTAAGACTCACAAATGTGGGCAACCAAATTGTTTGTTCTCCGTTGAGGAGGGAATGCAGTGTGACGACTGTAAAAAGTGGTATCACAAAATGTGTACA